AATTTTAGAGTTAGAGCTGGTGATCAAACTTTGGAAAATCATTTGCTCAAATGTGGCAAGAATAAAAGTTATATTTCCAAGACCAGCCAAAACAAAATCATCAACTGTATTGGTCAGGTAATATCAGAAGATATTATAAACGAGATAAAAAAAATAGATATTATTCTATCATTGCAGATGAAGCTGCTGATTCTTCTCACAAAGAGCAATTGTCCCTTGTTCTACGGTTTGTTGACTCTTCAATGAATGTTAAAGAAGAGTTCATGTGTTTCCTGCATTGCAAATGGGGTTGAGTGGTCAACAACTTTCAAAGCTTATTTTAGAAACTCTAGAGAAATTTGCCTTACCCATTATGGATTGCAGGGGACAAGGTTATGATGGTGCAGGGGCTGTTTCTGGGCATATAAATGGTTTAGCAGCCCATATTTTAAGAACTAATCCTAAAGCTCTTTACACTCACTGTTACAGTCATCGACTAAATTTGTCTGTCTGTGACACTCTTTCTAACGTTGAAATTAATAACATGTTATCTGTTGTTTCTCAAGCTGCCAATTTTATCAACATATCACAGACACGCAACATACCCTTTGCTGAACACGTTGAAAACTCAGATGTTCAGACCAAGAAGGCAAAACTGGTAAGTCTTTGTAAAACCAGATGGGTTGAGCGAGTTGACAGTCTTGACACGTTTCAACACTTGTTTATCCCTTTAATTGACACTCTTCAGGACATGATAAACAATGTAAGCGGCGAGGTGAAGCCTTCCCTTGCTGCTGATGCTTCCCAGTTACTTTCATTAGTTACTCAATTTCATTTTATTGTTGCGCTAGTTATTACAAGAAATATTCTTGATGCTACTCTTCCAGTCACGCAATTGTTGCAGGGAAAAACTATTGATGTTATGGATGGTTTTCATTTGATAACCACTTTGAAGAATGATGTAGCCAACATGAGGAAAAGCATTAATTTTTATCATAACACTTGGTATGAAGAGGCTTTAAAACTTGCTGAAGAGGTCAACGTTCAAGAAACAAAAAAGCAAATTGCTGGAAAACAAACTATGCGATCCAATCCCCCCAGTCAATCATTCAAAGAACGTTATAAACTAACCATCACTATTCCTTTATTAGACCATCTTCAAACATCTTTGAGAACTAGGTTTAACTTGGATAGTGTTAATGTGTACCGAGGATTATCTATCGTTCCCATCAAAATGATGACTCTGTCGGACAAAGGAATTGATTGGAAAGAACAGTTTAAAAGTGTTGCAAAATTCTATCATGATGACTTGCCCGACCCCCTTGGTTTAGATGCTGAATTAAGGCAATGGCGTTTATGCTGGGAAACGCACAATGGGCCTTTGCCAGAAAACATCGTCAAAACACTGAAGCATGTAACATTTCCAGGATTTGAAAATATTAAAGTTATTCTTCGCATTTTAGGTACACTACCAATCACCTCATGTGAATGTGAGAGTTAAATTTCAGCACTGAGGAATCTAAAAACCTACCAAAGGAGCACTATGGTAGAGGAACGTTTAAATGGCCTGGCTTTAATGCGAATTCACCCAGAAATTATTCCTGACATAGAAAGAGTGATCAATAAGTTTGCTGAAGGTAATACACGTTTGAAATTTGCTTAATGTGTTATGGCTACGTTACTGTAGAAATATTACTGACTTTGCAACTGGCTGCTTAATGTGCCGTTGCTGCAAAAATGTCTTACAGCACAACTGGCTGCTTAATGCGCCGTTGCTGCAGAAATGTCTTACAGCACAACTGGCTGCTTAATGCGCCGTTGCTGCAAAAATGTAAGACAGTGCAACTGGCTGCTTAATGCGCCGTTGCTGCAGAAATGTAAGACAGTGCAACTGGCTGCTTAATGCGCCGTTGCTGCTAAATCAGACTGTCCATGTCCGGAATCACATTGTTGCTTTGCACTATGTGTTTCCTAGGCATGCTGAAGAGCCCTGACATTGGGCGAAACGGTCTTAGCGTGTTTGTCCTCAATGTTTTGTAAGAAAAAAATGAAGAACTGCGATTTCATTCACTTTGAAAATTTGTTGTAAAGCTATTCCAAAACGCTGGAAATCGCATTTCTGGGACCCTAGGCTTCAACATTTTCAAGGGGGGATGCCCTCGGACCCCTTACGGGCAAACGCCTCTTGCGTTTGCTGGTTTAGGACTGACGTTTGGAAAATCCTAGATCCGCCCCTGTCTACCACCTCCACGTTTTTATCTGAACTGGGTTTTTGCGTTCACGAAGAGAAGTCAAATTTCATCCCATCGCAAGAAATAGAATTCTTGGGATTTTTCTTAAATTCTAAGCTAATGATTGTTAGTTTGACGCCCAACAAGTGGCGGCGGTTAAAGCAAGCTTGTGAAAAACTCATGACACAAACTCAACCTTCCATAAGGGAAGTATCTGAAGTTATAGGAATCTTAGTGGCCAGTTTTCCAGGAGTAGAAATGGGCCCTTTATTTTACAGACAACTGGAGAATGATAAAATTTCAGCACTTAAGGCCTGCAGGGGCCATTATGATGAGGTTATGACACCTTCCAAAACCAGTCTGGCTGATTTGCGATGGTGGGCGGATAATATAGAAACCACTTGTCAGACAATATCAAAGCCTAAGCCTGAGTACACACTGTTTACTGATGCCTCGTTGCTTGGCTGGGGAGCAAATTTCCAGGGAAACTCTGCAGGAGGGCAGTGGTTACCCACTGAAGCTGTGCAACACATTAACTATCTGGAAATGTCTGCAGTCCTTTTGGGTTTACAAACCTTTTGTTCTAGTTTGTCCAATACACATATTTGCCTAAAAACCGACAACACAACAGTGTCATATATAAATAATATGGGGGGAAGTCAATCATTTCAATGCAATGCCAAAGCTAGGGAAATATGGATTTGGTGCATTGAAAACAGCATTTGGCTTACTGCAGTACACTTACCAGGCAAGTTTAATGGGGAAGCAGATAAAGCTTCTCGAGTTTTTCATGACCAAACAGAATGGCAGTTGAATCCTAGCATGTATCAGTGTATTGTTCAGTTTTTCGCATTTCAACCGGATATTGATTTATTTGCTTCAAGGCTCAATTATCAGATACAACCTTATATTTCATGGAATCCTGACCCAGGAGCCTTTGCAATTGACGCATTTACGTTTGACTGGACTAATCGTCGATTTTATGCTTTTCCACCTTTCTCTTTATTGGGCAGAGTGCTACAGAAAATAGAACAAGATCAAGCTACGGGAATACTAATTGTCCCAGATTGGAACACACAACCATGGTATCCCATTCTCCGGAAGATGCTATCCAAGAACTGCTGTTGTTGCCTTACCAAAAGGACATTCTAATATTGCCCTACAAACCAGGGGTTCAACATCCTCTGTCACAGAGATTACGACTGATGGCCTGCAGTTTATCCGGCAATCAATCGAAAATACAGGAATCTCACCAGAGGCCACTGAAATATTAATGTGTTCTTGGCGTAAGTCAACCCGGCAGCAGTACAAGGGATACTTGGAACGATGGACACGATTTTGTTTAAAAAATGGGTTTCAACCATGTGCCCCACAGATCAATGAGGTAATTGATTATTTATTATCCTTGTTCAAGTCCAGTTTGGGATATAGTGGCATAAATACAGCACGTAGTGCCCTTTTATCGGTTCTCTCATTGCACGACGGCGTTTCTCTTGGATCTCACCCTTTGGTCATCAGATTTATGAAAGGGGTATTTGAACAAAGACCAAGTTTGCCAAGATACACAGCTACTTGGGACGTCAATATTGTGCTTAGCTATTTTAAGGCGCAACCTTTGGCTGAACACCTGTCACTAAAGGAACTTACATTAAAGTTGGCAAGCTTGCTGGTAATATTGTCTGAGCAGCGACTGCAAACAATTCATCTGTTGCATATTGATCACATGATATTGCAGGAAAACAAAGTTATTTTCCAAGTCAAAGGGCTGGTGAAGCAGTCAAAACCCGGCAGGCACATAAAGGATTTAGAGTTTGAGGTATACACACCAGATGAGAGATTATGTGTTGTCCTATGCCTTAAAGAATATCTTAAGCGGACTTCCATTCGAGGACAACAAAACAGCTATGGTTGAGTTTTGTTAAACCCCATTCTGCGGTATCCAAGGACACTTTGAGTCGGTGGATCAAAACAATAATGGAAAAGGCTGGGGTAGATATGAACATTTTTAAACACATAGCACACGTTCAGCTTCTACGTCTGCAGCATCACTATTGGGAGTGAATATTCAAACTATAATGAATACGGCTGGCTGGACTAATGCACGAACTTTTGCAACATTTTATCATAAACCAATTGAGGGTTTAGCTAATTTTAGTCAGGCATTACTGCACAATGTTATTTAAATTTTTTTTTTTTTTTGTTTTGTTAGAGTATAAAATTAGTTATGACTGGTACTGGTTTGGTTCATTCAGTTGTCTCATATCATTGGTACTTTAAAGTCTCATGTAATCCCGTAGTGACGTAGCAATGGTGAGGTAGAATTAAAAATTAAACGAGCTTACCTGTAAGTGAAGTTTGATTGGGATTCTACCGATCCATTGCGAGGAACGAAGGGATTACATGCCCTGCCATACTGGATTTACTCTTTGTTATGTAATAGATATTAGTACTGTGTAGATTATTGCCGATTGTAAATGGCTGCTAACTCCGACCCAAGGTTATAATGATATTCGACAAGCGTTAAATATTGAAGTTGTGATCGCTGGCGCAATCTCATGTAATCCCTTCGTTCCTCGCAATGGATCGGTAGAATCCCAATCAAACTTCACTTACAGGTAAGCTCGTTTAATTTTTAAGTAGTCATGTGTGTTTGGACCTGCTTATTGTTGTGAAATGTGTTCCATGTTGATGACAAAATTAATCAACAAAAGATCGAACTTGTTTTGCGACAACCTAAAAACTTCTAAGAAACTAAAAAATCAACCATTCTAATGCTAACACCTATGTACACTATTCCTGACCTGTGCTAAAAGTTGCTGTAGGGACAGATGGAGCAGCAGTCGTTTTACATATGGTAGACACAGATGTTGTAGCGACGAAGGAGCTTGAAGAAGAGGAAGAAGAGGTTGAAACAGATGAAGAATTGCCGATCGAGGTACATCCACATCCACTGGAAGAGGCCAGAGTGGGATTAGTGCTAAAAGAATCAGTGACAACATTTGTATTGGTATTTGTAGCAGCAGAGAGGAAGGAAGATTCGAAAGTTGCGGAAATCGTATTAAAATGAAGATCTTTGCGTATCGGATTAAATGTTGAAACAGCGCTACTAACTGGAAGAGAGGTTGTAACAGAGCTACAAAGAGTTACAGATGAAGATGCTGAAAAAGAAGGGGAAACAGAAAACGACACGGAAGGGGAAGTAGAGGCAGGGATAGTATTCGTAGATGAAAGATCTGTAGATTGACTATCTTCATTTCTATCTTGCCATAACTTCTTCATCCCGGTTTGAAACAAGTTTCTGGCTGATTTTCCAATTGCACCACTGCTGCTAATAAAATCTGTCGCCAAGCCAGGAGTTGCAGCATACTCCCAGACGGTTGGACCTCCAGTGGTTGATGGGTGATAATACAT